ATACTTATAGAGTAAGTTAAAATAGTTTCTACATCAAACTCAAAGGTTGAAATGGAGAGTACTAACATACATAGATCAACCAACCAGAAGAAGACACACAAAAAAGTTGGACAAAATATGGCTATAAAAGGTCATCATTGGCATTCAATGCAACTGACTCGTTTTTTAAAGAACATCCTTAAGAGTGTTTCTGAAGTAAATTCGATGTCATCCTCTAAAGAACTTCCTTAGTTTTTCGGATATGAAAGAGAACCTTCTTCCTCTCTCTCTTTCAGTTTAGTAAATTTGTCACAGTTAGATACTTTAGGATACAAGTCTTACCTTCCTAGCTTTCGCAACATATCTGTAGTTCTTTATTTATACAAACTATAAAGTGAAAAAATAAAACAATAAAAAGTAAAAATATGTTGTATTTGTATTCAACCCCTCCCCCTTTTACAAACACTTCATGTGTAAGTTACCACTTCCCAGAATCAACAAAAGATAACACAAGGAATTCTTGATACTAAAAACATCGATAGTAAAATCCATGGATGACTATAATGGTCGTTGATTAACTAAGAATTATGGACACCAATGAGGGCCAACATCCTCTACATTGAAGTCATGTACAATGATTGTAAGATTTTAGCGACAATTATAACTATAGGATATATATTTGTTTTAGCTCTACAGCTTTATCTTTTGGTTGTTAGTTAAGCAGGTCATACGTCAATATATAGATAGGTTGCAAATCGTGTGTTTAAAGACTTCTTGCGACAAGCTTGTTTCTATTCGTATTTTTGCGATGATCGTGAGTTACAGATATTTTTACCTAAATAACTTGCCCCCAAAATTTTATTTTTTAATTAACTTAAAATTTCAAATTTCCCACAAAATAACTTTGGCAAGGGTTTTGTGTGTATGCAACCAAAAAAAAACTGAATCTGTTGGTTTTAGGGGCTGATGGATGACAACCATCTAATAGTTTTTAAAAAAATTGTAGTGGGGCATGTGTCTATCATCTATGAGTCATACGAAGAGACGGAGTGTAACACCTCAAATCCATATTTGCATATAAACTATATATTCCATATAACATGAAATACAATTATACACATTGGTCCCAAAATATACAAAATGGTACATACAAAGGAAGCTACAAATTTTTCATTCACACCAAGTACATAATTTGCATTTAACAATTTCTTAGATACATGCACATAGTCTGCTTCAAAAATCCACAGATGTAAAGAAAATATGACCCCTTTCACATCTTTTCTTTCTTTTTACCTTCCATTTTTGTCCGACATGTAGTGCACATTTTTAAACACAAAAATGAGGGTTAGACCACAAGGTCTAGTGAGTAATTTCTTTTATTGCAATTACAAGGTGAAAATCACCAAAATTCTTTTAAAAAGCCCATATTTGTTTTAATAACAAATAAACAATCTTTTATGAAACAAACCTTTTTTCGTATCATATAGATGAGACAACACAATGTTATCGAATCACGACCCATTGAGGTATCAAACTTATCACATTAAATAAACCTTTAACCCTATCGGATTCACCTCTTATGATACTGATACCCCCACGAGTAATCAGAGTATTCCTATTCACATTTGATATTTGATTCCTCGGTTGTGGGAAATCTGGTTTGATATGATTGAGAGAGTTGTAATGCAAATAGTGCTGAGGCATTCGACAGTCTCTAGATAGATGCTCCGATTCCCCACACCTATAACACCTTATTTATTCAACATTGCAGTCACCTTGATGGACGCGGTAACATCTTGGGCAGGTCTCTCATGAATCTTTGAGTTGGACGATTTTTAGATTTTATAAACTTGGGTCTCCTGAATTCTGTTGAAGAGCCCTCCCATTTTTCTCTTTTCTACCACCCTTTCTCCCACCTGCCTATTCTTATTTCTTTCAGTTGTTTCATCTGCATCAATAGCAGATGGAAAGGCAATGGGATCCATCACAATCACAAATTCCTTGATTGAGGGTTTCAATCCCAAAATATACCATTCAACCTTGAGGGATTCTGAGGATATGTAATGCTCAACAAATCTAAAGTCTTCCTGGAGTGGCGGGGTGGTCGGTGGTCTTTGTGTTGGGTTAGTATAGGTCACCAAGAGGGAGAACTTTAAGTGATATGAACGACTTAGAAGGTCTAGCTCAAAACCATAGCCTTTTCTAGTGTGACAAGTGGATGTTTTTCTTCAATGAAGACGAGGTGTTCTCGGTCAAAGGTGTCAAGGAATTGGTGATAGAAACATTAATCATAAGGATCAAACTTCATCCAAAACTTAAAAGAACACATAGACTTACTTGGTGTGAATCCCGTATTTGAAAGAGTAGAAGATGATGATGCCATTTGATGTTATTGATTCTTTAAGGATATACGGACTTAGGATGGAGAGATCAATGAACCGATTAGTGATGTTGATTTTTTCATCTTCTCTGTGAGTGAGCGATAGATGGAGAGAGAGAGAAATTGAAAACCGTATATCATAAAGAAACCGTTCAACCCCATATGTGATTGTTATGTCACCCACATCCATCATATGTTAACATTACATAAGTATAGGGACTAAATCTGTCGTAATGGCAATCATAGATATATTAAAATTATAAATATATCTTATTTATATAAAACTTTACATAAATGGTCCAAGTACATTAAAATAGGAATTATAATCCAACAATTGGTAGATAAAAGTTAGTGTAGAGATTTATATCATAGTGTAGAATCAAATTGGAGCAATTTGGTTCCAAGAAAAGTTTGTATCTTCGTGTGGCGATACAGACAAGGTAGGATTCCAGGTACGTTCGGTGTTCGACAACCATGGATTCAATCTTTATTCTTCCTTACGTCCACTTGTGGGGATGAAATTGAAACAATTGATCATTGTATGGCTCATTGCAAGATGGTTACGAAAAATGGTAAGGACAAGGCTCTATAAACTTGAACTCGATCGCAAACATTTTCTCTTAGAGATCATTTGATGTTTTCTCCTCCTTTATAAAGCATATGGATGGTCGAATTTTGAACTTCTATGTACATGATTTGGGGTTATCGTAACAATCTGGTGTTCTCAAATCAGACCCCTCCACAATCAGATATGGCTTTCTATATTCAACTTTCATTAAACCAGTGGTTGATGTATGGTACAAAGGATTTCAGTTTGTCTTGGACAGAATGTTGCTGCAATCCATATGGTTTAGCCTTGTGGTTTCTTTTTAGTTTTTGGTTTCTCCATTGTTTTGGATCTAATGTTTTTTGGTTCTTTTTGTTGTCTAATAGAGTTTGTGGCCTTTTAAAAAACATTTCATTTCTTACTCTATTTTATCAATTTATTTTTTTATATTATATAATTAATATATAATTTTGTATCAGTAAGAACTAATTTAAATAGAATTTTAAAGTATATTAACAATTCAACCATGATCTTTTGAATATTATATATATATATATATATATATATATATATATATATATATAGGTGGAGATTCAAACGGTAACACCTATATTTTACGAAAACACTCTTATCAAATGTAATAATACATGTGAGAGGACTTGGTGGTATGCGAACAACGTGTCGTACGACTTAGGTCACGACAAAGGTCGTCTGCATCTATAATTTAACATAATATGTGATGAATTATAGTATCACATTAAGAATACCGTTATCACATGCAATAATATATGTGAGTGGACTTAATGGTGTAAGGATGACTTGGCCCGCAACCTAGATCACACCAAAAGTTGTCCTTGTCTATAATTTAGTATCACGTTTGTATCATATGTGATCATCTATAGTAAAAGGGTATCCTCACGTTCTTGTAAAATGAATGTGTTCTCGTTTGAACCCTTCTCTGTATATACAAATATATATATATATATATATATATATATATATATATATATATATATATATAGCTATAGCTTAACTTGAGAAGTGGTAAACATTTGAGAAGTAGAGAAATGATTTTAGCCTTTCATTTGGTCAAAGATTAATTTGCGGCTTTGACTTTGAAACACCATATAATTTCTAGCATGGTATGTGGCAGATAGATGGATAATTTCGTAACTTTTAAATTCAATCTAAACTATATCTTCATATGTGAACTCGTGTAATTCATATATAAATTATTTAACTGTTTCACTTATGGACCCGTGTGATTCCCATATGAACTATGAGTTCAGATATACAAATGTTTGTTGTCTATTTGTAAAAGTTATAAAACTACCCCGATTCTTTGACCAGTCAAAACCACGATTATTGACTAATTTTGACCATATGAATGATTATGATTATTTCTTTACTTCTTAAAATACTTATCATTTCTCAAATGAGTCCCTATATATATAATTTTTTTATTTTTGAAATTACAATTTTTAATATCATTACATTAGATTAGATTTTAGATTTGATTACAAAAATATAGTAACCTAGCACCTTGTGATTATTAATTTGTAAATCATAAATGAGTTGTATATACATCTTTTATTAAAAAAAACGAGCATATTTGATGGATTTATAATAATTGCTTATATTTTATTAAATTAATAATTAATATATAAATATATTATGTGAATTTTAGTCATTCAATATTAACCATTTGTTGGGCAATCATATAGAACACATGTGTATCTATAATTATACAAATTTATCACGTTAAATTATTTCTAATTTTCGAGACTTGACCTCGCAAACCTTTGGGGGAAGAGGATGCCCCAGCCTACATGCATATACCTCCAGATGATTAGAAAACCAGATCTCTTTGAACGTTTCTTTGAGAGCATTTTTCGGGGAGATCACCACTGACCATTTATCTATGAACCCATGTATACATAACCATTTTTCTTCAAAAACAGAATTGGCCAATTCACATATATGCGTCTAAAGAGACATATAAAGAATTCCAGGCGCACCACCAGGGTTAAGAAACCTGCACACTCGCACCCGCGTTCATGCTCCACCTTCGTTGGCGACCCCGCACCAACGAGGATGGTGGTGGACCCGAGATTCTATTCAGCATTCCAGATTGAACTAGCCTTCGTGAGAAAGACGTTGACGGTCGCAGATGGCAACCTCAGCTGTGTTTTGGACATCAATGGAAATGTGATCTTTATAATCAAAAACAAAAACTTTAGCCTTCATGATCGCCATATCTTGCTTGATGCAACAGAGATTCCGATTCTAACTTTCCAGAAAAAGGTTACGTAGATTTTCGTGTTTATGTTTGAGGTTATATGATTATCGTTTTTTAAGTTTTTATAAACCAAAATCGAACAATTCTTCTATTTATGGCGAGGATTAGATGTTATGTTCTATTTATGATTTTTTGGATGTCTAAATTCTTTAAAGTCGTCATTTTTGTTGATACCAATTATATACGTGATTAATTGCATAAGGTTCATTCGTCTATTTTCGTTGCTGGGTACTTTTTTCTCGATCATTCCTATGTCATCTTTCGCGATATTACATTGTGCATGCATAGTAATCGATACTTACATAATTATCATTTAATTATTCATTGTATGTTCGTTCCAACTTCTGCATTTTTGAAATTATGGAAGCGAATTATTCTTCTAAATCACGTTTACATTTCAACAAAAGTCGGAAAATGAGATTGAAATTAAAAGTAACTGTTTGATTTTATAAATATAACGGGTCCATTCCCTATAAGTCCAAGTTCTCTTTCCAAGTTCTCTTTCCAGGTAAAATTGAATTCTCATTTTCATTCCGTGTCATTTTCATTTTCATCCCCCGACTGAATCTTGGTGGTTCGGATTATAACGTTCATGAGTTTCTGAGAGGATTAAAGCAAGTACCTTATTGTTATACGAGTTAAGAGTTCAATTTTGGTAAACGTGGAAATTTTTTCATCAATATATATATTGGAACTTTTCTTCTATCGTTACAGGATGGCTCTTTTATAGAGTAATCTAACTAGGTTCCACACATGTTCATGATATGTTTTCATCTCACACGATTTAATCTTAATATTATTCATGCAATATGGCGAAAGAATATGATATGAACGATTTGCCTTTGTTCAGCATCGGAGCATACATAGAAGGTGGCAAGCTTTTAGAGGAGAGAGCACAAACGCGAAAGATTTGATTTTTAGTACAAAAAAGTCGTCGGTGATTCAGAGAAGAATTACCGAGCTCAATGTGTTCTTATCACAAAACAAAGAGGAAATAGTAGGTGATTTTAAGGTTGTCGGAGACCGGAAGAAAAAATCGTGCACGGTCTATTCATTTGATGGTACTACTATCCTTGGCCAGGTAATGTCATTACAACAAGATCGATTTTATGGGACGTCAAATATGTTTAAATGTTTTAATTGACTGCATTATAAGACTTAAGTTTATAAAACAAAATAATTGTTCATCATAGGTAAAAGTGTTACAACAGTTTGTTAAGAAGTATTTTGCACATCCTAACAAGTTTTTAGGATATTTTTGAAAAAAAATATGTTGCTAATTTTTTATAAGACAATTATGAAAAATATCTTATAAACACATTTTTGATGGAACACTTGTTTTTATAATACACTTCTTTAAGTATTGTCATATAGTAAACAAATTGTGCGTTTATTTCAAAATTATTATGAAAAACTTGTAAAAGACGTGCGAAAACGTCCTAACAATTTATTGTAATACATCTACATATGACAAACAATTGTTTCATATGATGAATTTCTGGGGCAATCAATTGCGGTGCTATAGCAGTTAGTGGTGGTCGAGGAAATAGCAGTCCCACAACTAGCGGTACTATTTAGCGTTATTTGACTGCGATGTACCGCTATTAACGCTATTTAGTGCTATTTAGTGCTATCTACTGCTAGTGTAATTAGCTCACTCATGACCCTTACAAACTTTATTAATGTGCTTCCTGCGTGGGACTTGATTTGTTTTACCTAACTTTATATGTATTAGCCATGTTTATACAATAAAACAATCTATCAAGATATTTAGACATTTGTTTCATCCAATAAAACCGATTTGTATTGTATTCTATACAACTCACCATATTCTATATAGTTGTAAGATAATCTTGAAATACAAAGAAAGGTGGAATAAATGAAGAGATCAATAGCTTTTTCAACCTGGTTTTGTGGAATCTTGGCATGGATTAATCTATGGTTAGGTGTGATTAAATGGCAGATGCACACTAATCATGTTGACACGGGCTTTTTGGAGTCTGAAAAGAACACATTTGGGATAACTATATTTCCCAATGTCGATTACGCACTCGTGGTGGCACTCATGGTGATTCTTTATGAGGTCGACAAGGATCGTCGTAAGAAAAAGAAAATGAAGGGAAAGAAGGATGGTAGTACAAGGGAAATAACAGAAGACAATGACGACACTGACGAAGATGAGGATGAAGAAGAAGACGACCCCAGTGACGATTCAAATTGATGTTTTTTCTTTCTATTTTTATGGTTTTCTGTACCTCTTTATGAATTGGTTTGATGTATATATTTGGAAGATAAGTTTGATTTGTGGATGAAAGACATCTTCAGTCCAAATAGGATATAATTTAGCCTTTTGTAACATAAGAAATCTGTAGCCCAAAAGAACGTTATTATACTAATCCAATAATGCAATAACAAAACTAGATCGAGTTTTAACATTTAATAAGATCTCCATCTTCATCAACCAGAGGTGTAGAAAAGAGCCAAAACACAATAGCTGGAATAAATTAAGAACAAAATGATTGTAAACATACACAAAATCATGAAATGATATTCACTTTGAGGTTACTGCAGTTATTTCATGGCAAATCAGTATACTTACGAATTAAAATATAAGCTAAACAATAATTGTCGAGTGTTTTTAACGGTTTTACCAAGTGACCGTTAAATGACCGTTATGTTTCTTATGGCCGTTGACAGTTACCCATTTCCTGCCAAAAACATTTTCTGAACCATCACATCCACATCCTTTCTGCAACTGTGTGTCGATTCCTTTCATAAGATTATTACAGTTCTGTCTTTTTATATATGTATGTTCCTTATTCTTTGATTGATCATGTAATTTGTAAACTTTGATACATATCAATATATTTTGTTGTTTGGTGTATATGTATCTTTGATCTTCTATCAAATGGTATCAGAGCCATAAACGTATGACTTCTAATTCTTTAAATGTTCTGCAATCCCAATCGCAAACCCAATTGCCCAAATTGAATGGAAGAAATTACTTCCATTGGAGTATTTAAATGAAGGTAATGTTTGAATCTCAAGATTTGTGGTTGATTATTGAAGAAGGGATCAAGGAACCTCAAAATCCTACTGCCCTTACTGCACAACAAACGAGTGCTCTCAATGAAACAAGGAGAAAAGACCAAAGAGCCTTGTTCTTGATATACCAAAAGCAGTGGATGACAACATATTTGAAAGGATCTCTTCAGACGGCTAAGGAGGTATGAGACATGTTCAAATCATATAGAGATGAAGAAAAGGTAAAGTGTAACAACCAAAAAAAAAAGAATTGGTAGTCGTTAAATTTCAAGAACATATAGTGTAAAGTGATCAAATTGAAGGGTTTAGACCCTAAAATTGAATGTAATTTAATGACAG